GGAAGTGTCCAAGGCCAGGTTGGACAGGGCTTGGAGCAACCTGGGCTGGTGGAAGGTGTCCCTGCCCCTGGCAGGGGGTGGGACTGGGTGAGCTCGAAGGTCCCTTTCAACCCAAAGCACTCTATGATTCTATGCTTAACAAAGGAAAAGCCACAGTGGACCAGCCCCAGGATCACTGGCAGGACTGGGCACAGCAGCAGAAAATGAGGAGAAAACAGTGGGACATTCAGTGTCTGCCCTGGTTGCAGTCCCCTTTAAATACCCAGAGTTTTCAGGAGATCTGGTGCTCAGCTCTTCGGAGGTGCCCAAAAACTTCTCAGCAGCACAGGCAGGAGGACAGGCTGGGGCCAGGGTGCTCCTCCCTGTGGAATGAGGAGAGGTGGGAAGGACACCTGGAGGTCACCCTGGGAATGGGGCAGCAGCTGGAGCAGCCTTGGCCCTGCAGGTCCCTGCAGGGCTGAAGCAGCTGGGCAGGAGAGGGAAGGGAGGGGGCAGGGGGAGGGAGATGGAGGCAGGAAAAGTCAATGTTTGTGCTGAACCAAATGGTCAGACCACGAGAGAGAACATCTCCCCGGGAGATGAGAAGCAGCCCCATTATGTGTGACTCTGTATTGATTTCTTCCCCTTTTGTTCCAGTTTGGCAAAGTGTGTGATGTTTTAGGAGGGAGCTTTATCAGCTAAACCTGCAGGTCAATTAACCAAACCCTCCCTGATGGAAGGAAAATGCATTTGTGCTGCACAGCTGCCAAGAAGGTTAAATGGGAAGGAAGACATTCAGAGGCTCAGATGAGGCCCAGAAACTGAATCCCAGAATCCCAAAGTCTCTGAGGCTGGAAAAGCCCCCCCAGCCCATGGATCCCCCCTGTGCCCCATCCCCACCTTGTCCCCCAGCCCAGAGCACTGAGTGCCACGGCCAGGCCTTCCTGGGACACCTCCAGGGCTGGGCACTCCAAACCTCCCTGGGCAGCCCCTTCCAGTGCCTGACCACCCTTCCCAGGAGGAAAAGGTGATGTTACGCTGTCTCACCCGTTGTAACAACAATGTGCATTCCTGATTTGGCTCTTGCACTGCTGCAGAGTCTCCACCTCATCCCCCTGACACCGCAGGGCTGAAAACTCGGTGTCTGCTTTTCAACACAAATCAAGATTCTCCCTCATGGCTTCTGATGCCTCCAACAGCAGCTCCTCCTCCTTCATCCTGGTGGGTTTCCCTGGCCTGGAAGCTTTCCCCACCTGCCTGGGTGTCCTTTTCTGCTCGGCCTATGTCCTGGCCCTGGTAGGAAACGGGGCGGTGTTGCTGGTCACTGGGCTGGACAAGTCCCTGCGTGCCCCCTGCCACCGGCTCCTGGCCATGCTGGCGGCCGTCGACGTGCTCATGGTGACGGCCGTGGTCCCCAAGCTGCTGGGCGTGCTGTGGCTGAACTCTGCCGAGATGGGCTACGTGGCCTGCTTTGTCCAGATGTTCCTCGTCCACTCCGCCACGTCGGCGGAGTCGGGATTGCTCCTGGCCATGGCCATTGACCGCTACGTGGCCATCTGTCACCCCCTCAGGTACCACAGCATCCTGAGCGCCCGGGCCATGGCCCAGATGGGCCTGGCCATCGTGCTCAGGGCTCTCCTCTTCATGGTGCCCCTGATGGGGCTGGT